GCTCCTCTTCTTCTCCACCTGTCTCCTTTTATACAGATGCTGCTGCTGCAGCACAACAGGGGATACGATCCCCGTATCCTTTCAACAGCAGCAGCTGCAGCTCTCCTGCTGCTGCTGCTGCTGCTGCTGCAGCAGCAGCAGCAGCAGCAAACCCCTATGGGACGCTCCCGGTGAGCATGTTGCTGCGGGTGCTCTTGCTGCAGCAACAGCAGCAGCAGCAACAGCAGCAGCAGCAACAGCAGCAGCAGCAACAGCAGCAACAACAACAACAGCAGCAGCAAAAGTAGCAACTGCAGCAGCAGCTGTATATATATATATATATATATATATATATATATATATATATATATATCTGTGTCTTGGTGTGTGTTTGCTGCAGTTCGAGCAGGAGCAGCAGCAGCTGCAGCAGCAGCAGCTGCTGCAGCTGCAGCAACCATTGCAGCTGCCGCAGCTACCGCAGCTACCGCAGCAGCAGCAGCAGCAGCAGCAGCAGCAGCAGCATAATATTACAAGCCGGTTGCTGGGGCTGGAGGCAGCAGTTCACCGGCTGCTTAATAGAGAGCTAAGCCGCAGTGACGCAGCAGCAGCAGCAGCAGCAACAGCAGCAGCAGCAGCAGCAGCAACAGCAGCAACTGCAGCAAATGAAGAAAACGGAGACAGCAGAAGGTCAAACGCTGTGAGGCAGCTGATACAACAAATGCAACAAAACACCTGTCTCCTTTTCTGTCTCCTTTTGTCTCCTTTTGTCTCCTTTTCTGTCTCCTTTTGTCTCCTTTTGTTTTTTTTCCTCCTTTTGTCTCTCTTTGTCTCCTTATTTCTCTTTTTCTGTTTCTTTTTCTGTCTCCTTTTGTCTCCTTTTTGTCTCCTTCTGTCTCCTTTTCTGTCTCCTTCTGTCTCCTCTCTCCTTTCCTGTCTCCTTCTGTCTCCTGTCTCCTTTTCTGTCTCCTTTTGTCTCCTTTTCTGTCTCCTTTTGTCTCCTTTTCTCTTTTCTTCTCTCTCTCTTTTTCTGCCTCATATCTTTTTTTCTTTTTTGCTTCTTTTTTTGTTTGTCTCCTCTTGTATTTTTGTCTCCTTTCTGTCTCCTTTTCTTTTTTTATTTTATTTTCTTTCTGTCTCCTTTTTGTTTTTTTCTTTTTTTCTTCTCTGTATCTTTTCTCTCTCTGTCTCCTTTTCTTTTTGTCTCCTTTCTGTCTCCTTTCTGTCTCCTTTCTGTCTCCTTTCTGTCTCCTTTTTGTTTCTTTTTATATATCTTTGTTTGTCTGTCTCCTTTTTGCTGTCTCCTTACTGCAGCAGCAGCAGCAGCAGCAGCGAGATCTGAGGGACACCTACAACAGAGCAGCAGCAGCAGCAGCAACTGCTGCTGCTGCTGCTGCTGCTAAGGCTGGTGCAGCATCAGGGATGTCTCCGAATACAGCAGCGGTAGTCAAGGCAGCAGCAGCAGCAGCAGCAGCAGCAGCAGCAGCAGAAACAGCAGCAGCAGCAGCAGCAGCAGCAGCAAGAACAGCACCAACAGATTCAAAAAATCTCCCCGCTGAGCGGAATGGAAAACCCCTGCCGCTGCAGCCCCAGCAGCAGCAGCAGCAGCAACAGCAGCAGCAGCAGCAGCAGCAGCAGGTAGAGGAGGAGACAGTCCCCTTTCCTTCGCGGCTGCAGGCGGGGGGTTACCGGGGCATAGATTGTCTCAGCAGTCCCCACAGCAGCAGCAGCAGCAGCACACCAACAGCAGCAGCAGCAGCAGCAGCAGGAACAGCAGCAGCAGCAACAGCAGCAGCAGCAGCAGCAAAGACAACGCGTCATAGATATAAATCCTTAAAGACAAGAGACTCTGTCTCCTCTTCTGTCTCTTCTGTCTCCTCTCTTTCTTCTGTCTCTGCATATGAAGCAGCTCGAAAACGATGGCAGCAAAAGAAACAGCAGCAGCAGCAGCAGCAGCAGCAGCAGGAGTGGAGACACATAGAAGTAACCCTTGCTAATCCTTCTGCTGCTCTGAAGGAGCATGTGCAGCGAATGAAGTTGCGTGCTGATCGAGCAGCAGCAGCAGCAGCAGCTGCTGCTGCTGCAGCAGCAGCAAGAGGCAGCAGCAGCAGCAGCAGCGCAGCAGCAGACACACCCCCAGCTGAATTCGAGCTGCTGTTTAACCACTGGTCACTCTCTGCTGCAGCACTCAAAGAAGAAGAAATAACAAACATAGTGCAGCAGCTAGGAGAGTTGCTGCCGCTGAGACGCAACAGAAGAACAGCAGCAGCAGCAGCAGCAGCAGCAGCAGCAGGAGCAGCAGCACTAGCAGCAACAGGGATTAGAAAAAAAAACGCAGCAGCAGCAGCTGCTGCTGCTGCTGCTCGCAGCAGCAGCGATGAAGAGACAGCAGCAGATATGATCAGCAGCTGTAGTGGGGCTAGCAGCACGCGGTGCAGCAACAGCAGCAGCAGCAACAACAGACGCAGCAGCAGCAGCAGCAGCAGCAGCAGCAGCAGCAAGAGGGTGTCTTTTCCCTTGGAGGAAGCAGACATGAATATATCGGAGGATTCAGAGGGAGGAGATGCAGCAGCAGCAACTGATCGCTCCTTAGAGACGGCTGCTCCTGCTGCAACAACTGCAGCAGCAACAACTG